GTCAAAGTTCTATGTGTTAATACTAATTCCTATTCTCCCAGGTTTTACTGTGCTTCAGTCGTTGACTTTCGAACAAGATTGGAATTTCATGGTGAACGTCGCATTTGGGATGGACGCTTCATCAAGAAAGTGATTAAAGGAAACTCAGCTCTTTATGTCTTTGTAGAAGAGGTATGGGAGCAGGGGCATCAATAGAAGTTTACCGATGATTGTGTTTTGATTTTAAGGTGGCAGTGTGGATCTCTGAACCCTTTTGTTCCCAAGAGTGACCTCAAAGGAATTTCTTCTGATACAGTAGTATCTGTACATTTCAAGCATGAAATTGTTGAGAAGAGAGAACAATATTGACTACAGGATATTACTTGATTTGACACCAAATTTTTAGGGGAAGACTTATAAGAAATGTCTGGGAAACAGTGCAGAAAATTGATATTTAAATCGTGGGAGTGATAAGGAAAAGGCTGCCATACTGGGCCCTGTGTGATGGTCTAATGTCTGAGCACACTGGACTGCAAATGGAAACATCCTGGTTGGAGCCCTAACTTTCACTGGCATGTGTTTTCATTTTGCTACATTTGAAGATGAAAAACAATGGTTTAGGCAGCTTCCCTAAAGAAAAAAAGTTTAAACTTTGTTTAACAAAACACCTTTAAAACTTGTCTAAGCTTTGGTGTGACTGGGGTATGGGTCATGATATAGAAAAGATACAACATGAGCAACATGAGAAAGTGAGTAGGATTTTAGATGGTGGCGATTCCACAAATTAGCCCCCAATCCATTGTTTTTAGACCTTATTGTTAAGGGTTAGTTTTTGTGTTGGGAGGAAAAGCAGAAAACCCAGATAAAAACCTTGGAGCAAGGACTTGTACCAACATAAAATTCTACCCATACATGACACTGGGTCTATGAGATGAACTTGGACCCCAGTAATTGGAGATGTGCACATCCCACTTCCCTGTTCCTTCCACCCATACAAGGGATATAAATGTGTACTAGCAACTTGTTAGGAAAGCCCAAAAAATAAATTTTGAGGGTAATGTGTGACTGAGTAGCATCACATCCTGGGTGTTGGGATAATCCCCTCACACTACTTAAGTCAGTAGTGTGTCAGCCTTGACTAGAGACAAGTGTGTTGGTCATGGAATGGTTCTCTTAGGGAAATCAAAGGAGGGATTAATTACAAATATCTTGGCCGTCACCAATTTTGGATGTCATGGCAAGACACATGTATTATTTCCTTTAGGATGGGAATTTCGGAGAATCAGAGGTGGTGGAGGATTCGGGATATGAATCTTCCATTAGAGAGCAGTTAGGAACGAAACGTTCATTTGACCAGATTACGACATGTGGAGAGTTGATAAGCAGTGAGAGCCCAGTGAAAATGTCACTATCATCAATAGATGGTCCTGCTCAACCAAGCCCTGAAAAGCTTCCTGTTGTAATTTCTACACATGATGATCCACTTGAAAACATTTCAAGTCATTCAAATTTGGTATCAGGGCTGGCTGAAAAAAGTGCTGATCAAAGTGATGTTGAGTTATCAAATGAAAGACCACTCATGAATGTGCAGCAAGAACTTGTGGCACCAAGTAATACAATATTATTCCTGCATAATCCATTACAGCAGTCTCTTCCAATGGGTAAGGTGTCAACAAAACAATGTTTCCAGTTTGCATTTATGAATAATTTTGGTCAGTACAATTATAGGTGGCAGCAAATTGTCTTAGATTCTTCTGTCAAAGGGGAGTGGCATTGTTACAAATAGCTTCAAGACTACTGATTTTGTGTAGCTTTACAAACCAGTCTACTATACACACCTTACCTCTACTGTTGAACATTGCAATTCATTAATAAAGAATTCCTAATTAGATTAATGTATAAGAAATTTAACTATGTTGTCAATGGTGCACAGTCTAAGGAAAGCATCTTTTTTATATACTCCTTTTGTAATCTTGATTTAAGAAAGAGAAAACCCTGTTTTAGGTTAAGTTATTCTTCTTGTATTCAGGAGGAATCCCGTTTATTGTGTTTCCCACTGCTGGAGGGATTCCTGTTGCTCCAGCACCAACAGCTGGAAATAATGCCTTAAACACAGTACCTGCTCAACAAAGCTTGGAGATGCCAATTTTGCCTACCTCTAACAATCCAGGGTTGCAAACAGCGCTACAAGCTTCAACACTTACCCCTCAGCTACAGAGCTTACATAGTTCGAGTGCATCTTCTCAGCAACCACAGAACATAGTTACTTCAGAGGCATCGCTTTTAGGAAGTTTCGAGGCCCTAACAACTGTGGACACCACTGAAATATCGCAGCAGTTGTCTTTGACAGGGGCAGAAGGTGACAGAACTGATTTAGAAGGGGGCCAGCAGGAAACAGAAAACCTCAAATCTCCTGATCAGGAAGAGCCTAATGTTGAGAAAACTGACTCTTCGCAAGTTCCAGAGAAAGAGTCAGCAGAAGCAATTGCTGTGGCTGGAGACCAAGAAAGTAGTGGACTTGCCACTCTTCAAATGTCTGATATTGAGGTATAAAGCTATAGATTAAGAAATGTCTAGTATGGGAAATTTAAATCTGATAATTAAATCATAAATCCATAAGTTAGCACCTCCCCTTAAGTGAGCACCCCATTTGATGAAGTACCCCTCCACCTAGCCAAAATTTAAAATTGGTGTTCAACACTCCTTTAAAAAAATCTCAGTCCCCTCCCTCTATTTTATTGAACAAGTTCTGAAACAACAGGCAATGGTATTACTTATCAGCCCTTTTCCAATGTCCAGTAAATTATTGCTTCATCATCATTATGATACTAGAAAACAGTTGCTTTCTAAATTGCATCTTAAAATTTCAAAATCTCTCTCTAGATCTAAGCTAAAAATAGAAATTTTAACCATATTCAATTCATTACATATTTTTATTCTGCAGCCACTGCCATCAGAAGATTCAGGATTTGGAACATCAGAAAAGTTAGAAGGTACATGCATGTATGTTGTACCTGAGCTGACCTGCAAGATTATTTCACTTTCTTAATTTACAAGTATTCTAATAATTCAAAGCTTTTATGTGGGGAAACCTCTATTTAAGTAAAACCTCCATCAAGGGAAGCCACCTTGGATCCAGATGTAATGAAATAGACTTCTCTTTCATCTTTGTATCTGTTACCATCACTGAAGGAACACCTCTATTCAGGGAAATTTTTCTCAGGTCTTCAGCTTATTCCTTGAATGGAAGTTCCTCTTTATCTGTTACCTTCATTGAAGTAAGGCCCACCTTTTGGGGACACTTTTTGTGGTTTTTATTTGTCCCCTAAATTAAGGTTCCACTGAATCTGTTCCTTTGCTGAGGGAGCACTTCTCTCTAAGGGACTCTTTTTCTAGTCCTTGGGTTATCCCCAGGATGAATTTTTCACTTTAATCTTAAGTTTAACTGGTTATTCATTCTTTTATAAGAAGGTAATTACATGTAAGTCACTATCAAGAGGCATCTAGAGTGAAGTTGCTAGCAAGTTGTTAATACAAGAATGTTACTCACTCGTGAAATTTGAGTGCATTGAAGTTGGGTAATGCCATGTAATGGTATTATCTCAAATTACACATTATTTGTTTTTCAGAAAACACTTCTCAGGCCATACATGTAGCTCTAGCTGGTGCAGCCACGAGAGGGGACACTTATGCTAAAAATGTGATGTTGTTGAAGAATGAGGAATTAGCACAAAGGGATGGTAAAATACTTATGCCAACCACTATTGAGATGGCAAGAATGAGAAAGACTGGACAGTATAAAAAACAGGTCCAGTTCTCAAAAAGCATGTCAGAAGATGCAGTGAGGAAAAAAATTCAAGAAACATTTGCCTTTGACTTAAGTGTAAGGTAAAGGAAATTTAAAGAAGAAATTTTAGTTAAATAAAATTTTATTCATTGAGGTCAGAGGTAATTGTAAAACTGACTCCACAACTGATAACAGATTGTTCCAGTTTTTCCAAAAGGAATCTCAAGATTTGGTTGATTTGCAATTCAAGTTTTTATTTTTTTAATGGCCAGTTCCAGGGTTATGACCCAGGAGGCAAAGAAAGAAAAAGAATAAATTCCCTACCACTAAAATTCCCTTTGAGAAATAATGCTTTTTTTTTTCTATTGGGCAGGTTTTATTGCGCATCAATCAGTAACACGGATAGTACTCTTCAATTTCACGGGGATCCTCGTGTATGGGATGGAAAAACAATAAGAAGAATCCTAAAGGGAAATTCAGCCCTTTACATTGTTATGCCAATGCCTGCAAAAGAGGTATATGTCATTAAAAAAGTGAAACACTGGTTAAAAATATCATTAGTAAGAACCTACTGGACTTTTGGTGGGTATGCAGTTGTGAATCACCCCTGTTTTACTTAAACCTCGCTTGGAAAGTGTTTTACTACAACCAAAACTCACTCTCTAAGAAAAGGTTTACGCTTTTGGTAATTTAGAACAGAGGGTTTCGTGGACCTTTGAAATTTTCTTTCTCAAAAATTGGCTATGCAGTTGTGAATCACGCTTGCCTGGCTTTGCCTACTCGTTTGGAAAGGGTTCCTACTGAGTCGTAAATTTGAAAAAACAAAAAATGCTCCGAAACTACCAATTAAAGTTAAACTACTTGGATTCTCAAAACGCGATAACGTCATGATTTCGTATGTACTTTTAACTGGCGGAGTTTGAATGCAACAATCGTGACAATCCAAAGTGATTCCTCTCTCGTGTATGAGCCTCACCTACAAATTAGTGGTTTAAATGGTTTAGTGTGGACGCTATAAAAGGCCAATTTTCAATTGAGTGTCCTAAGTAATCCGAGATTAGTTAAGTTTTGCTTTTCTTCGCTCTGTGATTGGCCCAAAAAACTCGCGCCACTCTTTCAACCAATCAGACGCAAAAGTAAAACCAACCACGACTTGGTCGCCCGCGTTCTCCCGCGCTTTAGGCAGTTTGATTGTATCTAATTTGAGTTCTCATTGGCTCTTAAAATTATTTTCCTTCCATCTGATTGGCCGTTGTGATAACTTTGTTTTGGTTTTAAGACCCTCAATCGAAAAGAGTTGAAGTAAGTTTTGGATTTATCTTGGATCTTGCTCTTGACTGTCAGAATTCATCAGGATGTCAGGAATTTTATCTTTGTTCTGTTTGTTTCTTTGTTTCTTTGTCAGAACGGACTCGAAATGCTTTCGAAGGTCGCCTCAGCTGTAAAGGTTTGTTTTTGCTAATATTTATGAGAGTATAAGGAAGGTAGCTAATCATGGGTTACTTACTACCTCGTGCAAAAACGATTTTTTCTAAACCCGCTCTCATCGACCGTTTGTCCTGATGTTTCGGCAGACGTCCACTACATAAAAAACCTTTTAGCCTGATTTCTCTTGTGTGAAGTTTATTATACACGTTTCTTTGAGTCGGTTTTTCAAGCTCTCTTTTAGTCCTCTCTCTGTTCAGAACTCGATTTTCTTTAGTTTTTTCTATGTTTTTTCTCTCTGATATACTCAACCTCTTTATTTCCTTCAAATTGAAAGTAATCCATCACTCGCTGTAGTATCAATTTCGACTGACAGGCACAGAAGCTTAAACTCAATA